ATCGATGGTATCCTTTTCAACAATAATCTTCAAATGTCATATGTGTTGTGCTTCATTTTTATATGGGATGGCGTCACCCTGAAAATCAGCTATGAAGTGACTCATTTTAGTGACTCGCATTTTGACCTACTTCCTGCCTACCTGTCTCATAACCTTGAGAGGAGCATAAGGGTATATGCCCCTTAACCCAATCAATACCAAGTGTGGAACATCCCTGGATCTGATAATGAACTCGTCGGTAGGGAACCACTCGAACATCCATTGAACCTGATCTTCGATCAAATTGTTGAAAAATTGTACCCATTCCGCAGCATTCTCTAGTTGAGCAAACCTATTTGGGTTATAGGCCATCTTCTTAGGGTGATGGAAGGCTATGTGATCATTCCATGCATTCGCGGAAACTCTTGGCAGTATTGACCTCTTTGGAGGTGTTCTAACAACCAAACCTATAACAACAAATTGCAACCCTCAAAGTATCTGTACCCTTTCTGACAGTACTCCAAGGCCCGGTACATATCTGTAATGATCATAGGAACAATGGTATATGTCTTCCCCTTGATCCCTCCTATCAAAGTTTTGGCCACCATGGCCAGTCTAGTATGGATTCTATCCCCTTGGATTGGGAACACTAGCATGCCCAAGAAACATATGATGAACACAAAGACCCTGCGGTGAATCCACCCCAAGGAGGTGATGGAGAATTCCTCATCAAAAATACGGTAAGACCTGTTGTGATCATATCGTTCATAGAGGAAGTCGAAGGGTATGTAGGAGTTTTTCAAGCACTCTAAGACATCAGTTTTCTTCAACCCCGTCATCTTCAGAAATCCACTAGTGGTGCGATTCTCAGGTTCTAATAAACTAGGGCTATCCCAAGGTAGCCCAGCAAATCCCCCTATTTCTTCCAAAATAGGGGTCATTTCTATGTTTCCAAAGCGGAACGCAGCCCTCTCTTTGTCCCAAAACATGGTAGCAGCCTCGACCAACATTTTGTTCAGCTGAAGATCAAATAAGGAAGGTAAGTTTCCTAAGACCCTTTTCACATGGTTTTGGTCACTTGACTGAAGATCCCTCCACCAATCTAGCAATGGTGATGGTATGTTACTAACCATGCCGAACCTGGAGATTTCGTACCTCATTTTCTGCAAAACAAAATATAGTTAGGCCCTTACCCCCTCCAGGTTCGTCTATTTATACAATAATGATTAGCACATTGGCACTTATTTCTTCAAAATTAATACACACAATCGTGGTTGCATCCATTGAGATTATGGAATGGAAGCGGAATCTAGAGGAAAAATGGTAATTAAGCAGTTAGTGACCTGTGGATCGAGGTAAGTGTCGTGTCTAACTTTGACTCGAGGATTAGATCCCTTGACTTTTTTGCTATGTGAAAATCCATGTGAGTAGTATATAGGTGAGGTAATAAGTACCTATGCACCGCCAACTTTCTATACTTATTGAGTAATTGATGCTGATATGTCAGGATCGGGTTACCCGCTGCAACAGGAGGACTAATGGTGCTATATTGAGGAGGAATAAGGGTGAAATGCTATTATACGGTGGGATCTGGTTGCACGCTGCAATAAGAGAAATAATGGTGGATTGATATGGAGTAATAAGAGTGAATATTCATATTGATATATGGTGGGATCAGGATGCACGCCGCATTAGTTTATGCGTTTGTGTATCTTTCTTCTACTATGTAAGTTAGTTTGTAGCTTTGAATTTCATTTAAGGATTGGTTATAGCTGGATACTGACACTTGAGTTCTGTATTTATTCATTGCAAATTACTGATTTATTTTGTTCTGTCCTTCTTTCTGCTTTTATAATACACTGTATGCAGGTTATATTGTAATTGACCAGCCGTAGCCTCATCACTATCTTGTTGAGGTTAGGCTCTGCACTTATCAGTACATTGGATCGGTTGTACTGATACTGCACTCTGCACTTTCTGTGCACATTTTGGAGCAAGTAGTGACTGATCGAGAGGTCCGGTGCAGATATTTTTAGCTAGAAAACCCAAGGTAGTCCTACTGGCGTCCGCAGGCCCTGGCATCTCCATCCATGCTCATACATTTACTGTTTTTACTTCCCGTCATAAACAAGTGTATCTTCTTTCGAAAAAATATTTGTAGTAAATCTTAGTGTGTTCGTGAATTGTGACACCGGATTCTGGGTAGTAATAGCAATAACATTGGTAATAATATATAGACAAAGAAGCTGTTTACTTACTTCCACATTTATTTCTACTTGTTTTAGCTTGTTTATTTTTTTTATCACTGAAACGTAAAGGAGATTGATTAAAAAAAAGTCTAATGTTTTCTTGCCTAACAAGTGTGATGTTAGGCGCCATCACGGTCCCGATGGTGGAAATTACGGGTCATGACAATTTTATTGTTCCGGTTGGAGATCCATCCGGTACTGGTAGAGCCGTAGAATAATCTATTTATGGCTATGTTGCGGCCTAAATGACTTTGGGACTACTCTTAGCAACAATAGTTAGAAATGATGGTGAAAGTTGATTTCCATGGTGCTAAGTTTCATCGCAATTCATGCCCTGTGAATGCAGACTTTCTAGATTGTGTTGTGATTTTGTTTAAAATTTTTCTTCTATTGTAAGTCTTCAATGAAGGGCATAGAACCTTATGGAAAAAATAGCTGCTAAAGAATTTATCCCAAAAGGATGTTGTGTTGATAATGTCTCCCTTTCTTCCTCTTCTTTCTCCCGAGTAACACATACTTCAATTACTATTGTAAATTTGTTGGGCTAAGCGAGCGTGTTTAGCCTTCACAAAGTTTGAGGACCCAAGTTCGGAGAAATACCAATTCCATTTGCTATACACAAATGGGCTACTTGGAATCCCATTCTCCGTTGGTCATTCCTACATAGCCATAAAGAGCAGGAAAGCAAGAAAGATAGAAATTTCTATTATGATAGCAATTTTGATTAAAGATATTGGACTGGTACTTGTGCATTTGTATCACTTTCTTTTTTCCATGAAAACCTTTTACTACATTTTATAGGTGAATTTTTAATGAAGCTTTTAAGAAAAATGACTTTTTGTTGTTAGAAGGCAAATTTGTGGTTATGGTCATCGAGAGTCATCCTCGTTGGCACTCAAAGGTAGAGTACTATGTTATGTTAGTAGTGGTTGAAGCCCACCATTATAATGGAAGTGAATCTATCTTCTTATATATGTGTATTTAGATATCTAAACTCTGTTTTATGTCATGCCGGTTACTTATGGCAATAATGGTACAAGAGGACTGATGCATCTTCTTACTACTGTATCTCATACCTAATTTTGAATTAATCTATCTAATCCTTTTTGCCTTAAATAGTATTTGTAACATACTTTTATTGTCATTTTCTTTTGTTCATTGTGGAGCAATGCGTCAACGGATTGCACGAGAAAATAAGTTTTCAAAGTAATTGACTGCATTGGAGAAGAGAATGATGGGTTTCTTCTAAAAGCGCTCATCAAAACTCATAATTCTCAAACAAATATATTTATGTCTGATACAAGTACTTTTTGTGCGTGATACAAGTACTCAATGGAATATTGAAGGTGAAACAAGTTACTTCAGAGATCTGTGGTGATACTTTATTTGTATTAAGATAGTAAGAAATGTTGGCTATCAGGACCCTCACTAACTTATGATATCATGCAATTTTTATTTTTTCCTAGCTAATTTGTATTTCTATATCAGCTTGGATGTGCTTATGGTATCGTAACTACAAAAATCATTTTTTCATCTTAGCAAAAATGTCTTGGTCTCTTAGTAGCATTTTGGATTGACATCCCTTGGGAAAGATAGGCTAACACGATCCAATTCATTGCATCATTGAGTGTTTCTAATTACTATATAATAGCACTTCTTAAGGTTGAAATTCAAAAATAGCCAGATTTACAACATGTCGTTCAAAAATAGCCTAGTTTTAAAAGTAATCAAAATTTAGCCACTTTTCATGTAAAAATAAATCTGAGCGAAAACACTGTTCAAAACCCGGAAAATACACCAGTATATTATGCTGGAGTTCCACCATAAGTACACTAGAACTCTAGCGACCAACATAATATACTAGAGTTTCAGCAAGTATACCGATCCAACATAATATACTGGAGTTTGGAGCACCGGTGCTCCAGTCTCCAGTATATTATACTTGAGCTAGCAAAGTATACCGGTCCAGCATAATATGCTGGAGTTCATACACAGGTGCACCGAATTCCAGTATATTATGCTGGACCGATCTTTGTTGCAGCAAAATAGTGGATATTTTTTATTGACTTGGTAAATGCTGGCTATTTTTGAATGACCAGTCCGAAAACTGGTTATAATATGCTATTTTTACCTTCTTAAGCTATTGAAATTAGTTGTTTTGTTGTCTGTGGTTTGTCAAAAGAGTGGTATATTGTAGGTCATTAGCAAAAGAGTAGGCTTTTGTCTCTAGAAAACTATTAGAACAGGTCCAGTGTAGTGTGCCAGCTTTTAATTTCCCAAGCTATTAGACATGTATTGAGTACATTCGTAATTGATTAAGAAATGCTTCAAAAAATATAGTTGTAAAAAAATCTGTTTTAACTTCTCAAAGGTTTATTTATTTTAGAAAGTAATTGTCACTACCAGAAAATGAGCCTATGGCAACGGACGTTTCAGCAATTACATAACCGTTGCCACAGATCTCTATAGCGACAGTTTTAACCGTTACCAAAGGTTTTGGATGCTATTAGTACACTTTAGCAACCAACCGTTGCCATTGTATAATAACCGTTGCTGTACGTTTTTTTATAGCCACGGTTTCTATAACTGTTACAATATATCTATCAATAGCAACGGTTTTTTCCAAAAAAATATTTATAGGAACGGTTATTGTTCCCTCCTTAATTTTTTCGTGTAGCCCGCCAGATCTAGTACTCTCTCTTTAAACCTTTTTATCTTTTTATTTATTTTTAATATGTAATATGTAATATATATAGTTAAAATCCACAATTTTTATTTATTTTCTAAATAAAAGTAGATGTGGCCTAGCTCCAGTTACGTTTTTTTCCAAATCTGAACCCTTTTCCCTTTTCCTTTATCTCCAATAAAGTTTTCCCCCAATACTCTAATCCCTCGTACCCATTTCCCCCTTTTCATTTTACTCTAGATCCAGTCATATTTTCCCCAAATCTGAACCCTTTTCACTTTTCCCTTATCTCCCATTACGTTTTCGGTTTTCCCCAATTCACTCTAATCCATCAGACCCATTTTCCCCTTTTAATTTCTCTCTTTGAAATCCCTCAAATCCAGTAGTCTGGTGAGAGATCTCCAGAAGATCTGTGTCCGTTTGCTAATGACATTCAGACTATTTGCGCATCATCGTCGTATTCAACCCATGAACTCAGAAGTCGGTGATTTCTATAGCAAACGCAAAAGGCACTCCGTAAAAAACTGATTTTAGTTGTAAGTTTTTCTTTTTCAATTTGGGTATTTTCTTCTTTAATCGTTCCTTTTTTCTATAATATTTAGGGTGTGGTAGTGTATTTAATATCTTGCTTTCTATTGTTTTTTTGAACCCCAATTGTTAAGGTTTTATTTTCGTTAGGTGTGGCTACTGCGAGTTTAAATTTTTAGAACTAATATTCCTATAAAAAATCTGCCAAAGATGACTTTTCAAAAAGGTCAGTCTTTTAGTTATGTTTGCTTTTGACATCTTGAATTTATTGACACTCTTATCTTAGTCTATTTTTCTGTAATTGCATTCACTCTATATTTGGATTTTTCTAGAAATTGACTCTCAATATTAGTACATGGATTTATGCTATCAATTGGCATAAACTATGTTTCATAAGGTCTTTGAGTTGAATTTTGAAGCCACTCTAAGAGGGTGTAATCTATGAAAATATCTTATCGTTCATTGCTGGTTTGTCGAGTTGGTAAACCTGTTCTAACTTTAGAGTGTCAACTCCTGAGTTTTCGAATGCTCGAGAGCGTTGTGGCTTATGATATGGCGCTAAAGTCTTAAGGTAAATGCTTAAAAATTAAACTAGGTGTACTAACTCACTCAAATCCAAAATTTATTTCGTGAGATGAGAATTGCCCAAAATCATATTTGAAAATAATTATTCATTCGCTCGATCGTGCAGGAAGACTTGCATGAAGCACAAAATGAGGATAAGAATGAAATTGTAATCATCATGCGTCTACTTGTTCCTAACAATTTGGTTGGATGCCTTTTAGGAAGAAAAGGCGATGTTATTCAGAAATTGCAAAGTGAGATTGGGGCAAGCATTCATGTTCAATCTGCTGAGCATCTTCCAGTTTGTGCTATGACCACTGATGAACTGGTCCAAGTAAGTTTCATGTTCTTTTCTATGGGTGCACAACTTATTTAGTTTGAATTGACATGCTTTTCTGGAGTTCACATGTTTTGGCAATCAGTAGGGTTTGCACCAGTAGTTAAAATTATGTTTGTGGAATTGCTTGATTACTGGCATGATTTCTTGATTACTATTAAGATCACATTTTAAAGTTTAATATTGCAAGATCGAATGGAATTGAATTTGAGGAGGTCCCATCAGAACTCTACAGAATCCGACTTTGTGCGACTTGGCCGTGTTGAGGTGTATTTTTTTTTGGTAATCCGCTAGGCAAGTGGCTAGGGCTAGTTTATATATATATATATAAAGTCATACAAAATGAAAAAGGTAAAAATTAACAGTTACATAAGTCCTATTACCAACATTTGTGTTGTGATAACCAATACTGATATCACAATGTGCTACTGTATGAAAAGGATATATAAATAGAATAGCATGTTTAATCACTATGATGCTACATATGTAGTAATTTTGCTTATTTGCACGCTACTGATCGTCATTTTGACCCTTTCTCTTGTACTTGTCAACACTTGTGTATTTTAACTCTAGTGTTTGAGCTTGCATCCTATGTCGATGGATCTTGTTTTTTGAGGACAGTATTGTTTCCAGCACTGTCCAGCACCATATTGCTGGCTGAGTTTTTGATTTTCCTCTCAGCATATCTTCTCTGGATAGGTGATTGTCTTTTCTTTGGTATCTGGCATTCATCTCTTTGTTTCCTATTGGAACTTTTGCATTTATTCCATATTATGATTGCGTGTAAGCATGCTGCATCATAACAATATCCCTTTGTGCTTTGTCTATCCCTTATTGTTTCATTCTGTGATGCATCGAGGTAGCTGTTGTGGTGTGTTCAAATCTGCTGCCTGTGTACCTATAGTCGTATGGTGTCCACTTGCTTACTGTTGTGTACTCTTGACCATGTACTACATGTGATGTTGTGAAAGATTGTTGCACTGAAAATGTACTCCAGAATTCATCCATTTTGCCCATCATTTTACGAGAAAACCACCGCTAGCTTTCTTTTAGGTTACTTGCATTTTTTGGTCTAGTTATGAAGTGATTTTTTTGGGCTGGTATAGGATACTTATGTCTAAATAGCTACAATATTTTGTTAAATATAGGGATTTTACGATTATAGAATAAAGTTGAGGAAGAGAGGTAATTTGCTTTATTTATTTGAAAGGTCTAAACTTTGTGTCTTGCTTGGTCTTTATCATGAGTTTGTCAAAATATACTTGGACTTTGCAATATTGGACTTTGTATGTTCTAGTTTTTGGTACAATATTTATTGAGTTTACAATAGGAAAGGATAAATCTGGTGCTTTTTCCAATTATCAAAGGCAGTGGAGGGGACTCCATTAACATCCTATTCTTGCTTTTGGTGTGGATGGAACATGTAAATGAGGTTGAAATTGTTCTTCAGGTGCTAGAATTATTACAAGATTAGTTTTTTGGGGCTTATCCTTTTACTTTTTCTGCCTCTGTTAATTATTTAAAGCTACAATAGCACATTCTTAGTTCTGGATTTATAACATTACCTTACCTTTTCAAAAGAAATGTTTAGTATGAAGAGTAAATGTTGCACGTACTTTAACATTGTCAATGTATTGAATTAGTATGGTAAGTTGATTGCACTACTTATTATTCACTGTTGGTTATTATTTGATTGACTCATTTGCAAAAAAAAAGTTATTATAATTGTTATTCCTGTGCGCAACATCATCAACATATACCAACTGATCAGGTGCTGGTGCGTGTATAATGTCGTAATCTTTTCCCATATTCCATATATATAATACCATCTGGTCATGAGTCGATGTAACCGTATAAATGCATGAAAATATGTTAATAATCTCAATATTCCTTTCGGATAAACTTTATCAACTATATATTACTTTGAAACTCATGAACAGAAGATATAATAACATGTCACATGGGGAATCAAGAACACAGAGACCCTTAGTATTTCTATGAATATAGTCGTTTATGAAAACTGTGTGTTTGCTCGTTTCTTCTTTATAACTTGTATCATGCCGAAGAGAAAGAAGGGATAGCCTTAACATACCTGGAGTAGGGATTTTGTAAGAATTTAGTAAGAAATCACATCTAACTGTGATATGGTTTATGGCCGTATACAAGTCACATTTTTCGGCCGCAATCAACAACTTGGTTTCCAATTGATGCAATTGGTATATCTCCAGTGATGATATCTTGCTAATACTGACAACTAGTAACGATCCAAAGATTAACAAGGTGTTTGATTTGCAATTTGCAGTAGATTTGCTTGGGTCCATGGTGGTCGAAATGTTTAACCTACAATCCGTGTTGTAGATAAATCCATTAAATTGGAAAGTCTTGGAATTTGAGGTAGGTGTCTTGACATAAATTTATTAGGTTGCCACCTATTAAAATGACTAAGGAGTCATTTGCCTTAGGTTGTGGCCAGCTGTCATGTTTTTGGAAGGGTGGGGTAGGAAGTATTAATCTTTATCTACTTATTAGGTAATTAAGTAATGTTTCGTTATCCGGTAATTAACCAATTACCCGCATAATTAAGAATTATCTCAAATTACCTAAAAATACTACTCATTTTTTATAAACTTTATACATCATACTATCACGGTCATATGGTACCTTGTATGATACTAGTCCATAAATATCGGGTATTATCGCTTGACCCGTATTTTATCACAAATCGGCAACCTTCAATGAAACTCGTTTTCTTTAATTCGTGTACCCTTTATTCTTCATGACACTTACTTATCGCTTGTTATAAATAGCATAAATACGTTAACCTCAAGATAATCTCATCCCTGAGTTTACGTCAATTAACTGAAGACGAAACTTTTAACGTATGAAAATGTGAGATGTAACAATAATAAAGCGGAAGTAGATTTAGGAACCATGATAAAATTGTAACGACTCGACTGGTTGTTTCATGAGTTACCGCTCCGTTTTCCCTATTTTTGCTTCTTATTGCCTTGTTCATCTGTATTTTGTGTTATCAGGTTGGTTGGCTCGGGTTCAGAGAGGTTTTGGTAAGGTTTGAGACACTTAGTCTCTTTTGAAGAAACTTAAATTGAAAAAGTCAAGCAGATGTTGACTTATGTGTTAAAGAGCTCGGATGTGAGTTCTGATGGTTCGGATAGCTTTGGGATGTGATTTGAGACTTAGGAGTGTGATCGGAATGTGTTTTGGAGGTACGGAGTAGATTTAGGCTTGAATTGATGAAATTGGAATTTTGGCGTTTTCCGGTTGATAGGTGAGATTTTGATATAGGAGTCGGAATAGAATTTCGGAAGTTGTAGTAGGTCTGTCGTGTCATTTGGGATGTGTGTGCAAAATTTCAGGTCATTCGGACGTCGTTTGGTAGACTTTTTGATCAAAAGCGTAATTCAGAAGATTTTGAGAACCTTAGGCTTGAATCCGATATGTTTGGTTGATTCGATGTTATTTGAGGTATTTTGAAGATTGGTATAAGTTTGGATAGTGGTATATGACTTAGTTTTGCTTTTGGTTGAGGTCCCGGGGGCCTCGGGGTGATTTCAGATGGTTAGCGGAAAGTTTGGAAGTTGGATGTAGCAGTTGAGGCTAAGTTTGTTGTTATAATCGCACATGTAGCTAGGGGACCGCAGGTGCGGGCTCGCAGAAGCGTAGAGGGAGCTGCAGATGCGGCCAAGAGGAGGATCAGCTGGAACTGCAGAAGCAGTAAGGGGAGCGTACTTGCGTTAGCACAGGTGCGGGCGGTGCATCGCAGATGCGGATATTGGCCCATAAGTGAAAACCACAGATGCGGTGTCTTGGACCGCAGAAGTGGTACCACAGATGAGGTGGATGGACTACAGGTGCGAAAAGACTGGGCCAGAAGGTATAAAAGAGTTCCTTCTTGATTTTTGAGATGTTCTTCACCATTTCAAGTGGGTTTTGGAGCTTTTTGGAAGATTTTGAAGAGGGATTGAAGGAATAACGTCTGGAGGTAAGATTTTTGAACCTAATAATCAATCCTAAGGCATTATTTCACTAATTTGGCCTAAGATTAATGGAAATTAAGGGTTAAAAATTAGGGATTAGGGCTTGGTATTGGAGACCTTGGCTTGAGGATTTGAGGGGTCATTTGTGGTCAGATTTTGGAATTTTTGATATGTATGAACTCGTGGGGAGATAAGGAATCTATTAATGTAAATTTTATCGAATTCCGAGACGTGGGCCTAAGTATCGAGTTTTGGTTAGTTTCGGGATTTATGTTGTAAATTCATTACTTTCGCATGGGCTTCGTTCCCTTAGCATATTTTGACGTCGTGATTCTGATTTTGGATAGATTCGATGCAAGTTGGGGCCGATTCGAGGGGCAAAGGCGTGTCGGGCTTGAGTTTGGATCGGATTAAGGTGAGTAATGATTGTAAATATTATCTTGAGGGTATGAAATCCTGGATTTCACATCGTTTTGCTATATTAAGGTGACGCACACGCTAAATGACGAGCGTGGGGTCGTGCACCGTTGGGAATTGTGACTTAGTCCGTCCCGAATGATTGTTTTACCGCGTATTTGATTGAAAACTGTTTGCTATCATCATGTTTTTGGCTGAATACCATATTTGGGCCTCGTGCCAACTATTTTGGACCTTAAAGGGTGTTTACTACTATTCCTCACAGTTTTGATTTTAGACTTGTACTCAGTCATGCTATATTCTACTGTTTTCATAACTCAGCCATGCTTACTCTATTTTAACACATTAAATGATATTTTAAATGATACTTTGGGCTGAGCATTATGTTTTACTGTTGCCCGAGTGACTTATAAGATTCTGACTGAGTAAGGCCGAGGGCCTATGTTGTGAGGATACTTTTGGGTTGGGCTGCACGTCGCAGTAGTGATACACTGATTTATGATTTTGAGGCCGAGGGCCGGAGATTGTACGCCACAAGGTGGCTTGATATGAGGTTGATAGCCTATTGATTATGCCACGAGATGGCTTGATGTTGCGCTTGGGCCATAAGGGGCCCCTCCCAGAGTCTGTACACCCCCAGTGAGTGCGGGTACCCATTGTGATATGAGATATAGCTCGAGGGGTTGGTATTGTCCCATATTATTGCCCGATGGGCTAATTCTGTTGACATTGGGCCCAAAAGGCGGATTTTATGTGTTTGTCTCTTCTAGCTACCTTTCATTTACTTGTTTAACTGTTAAAAAGGTGTTTTAAAGAAGCTTATACTGAACTAAGATGTTTTTATAAGATTTCACTATTTTATTGCACTTTATTGGTTTTACCCTGCCTCTTTATAGCATGTTATTGTGTTTTTACGTGATTTCTTATCGCTCAGTCTTCATTTATTGTTATTACTCACTGAGTTGGAGTAATCACTTTACTCCTTGCACCCTGTGTGCAGATTCAGGAGCTTCAGGTCCCGCCAGTGAGGGTTGATTGCTCCCAGCAGGCCATTCGGAGTCCACTAGGTAGTTGTCTGGCATTCGCAGCCCAGTATTTCTCCCTCCTATCTTATTTTCTTTTTCTAGTGATTGTATAAACTCTCTTTCAAACTCTTAGACTTATGTTAGATGCTCATGACTGGTGACATCCCGATGTCAGGCTGTGTTGGTTTCTGCAAATTGTATTTTCACTTTTATTTTGGGATTATTATCATGTTAAAAACTTAAATTGTGTTATTTTGATTGCTTAAAATGAATTGAGTATTGTGTCGGCTGGCCTTGTCTTCACGAGAGGCGCCATCACGACCGAGTCTGGGTTTAGGGCCGTGATAAAAATTGTTGTTATCCTTACCATGTCATGAAATATGAACAAAATATAATGCAGAATGATATAATAGCAAATACGACCATGAACAACTGCTAAAATTCCCAAAATCCGATGTCACAAGTACATGAGCATCTAATAGAATATAAACTACTACAACTATTGTCTGGAATGAAAATAAACAGAATAAAATAAAATGATATAATAGCAAATACGACCATGAACAACTGCTAAAATTCCCAAAATCCGATGTCACAAGTACATGAGCATCTAATAGAATATAAACTACTACAACTATTGTCTGGAATGAAAATAAACCGAATAAAATAAATATTGGGGGAAGGAGACTCTGGGTTTTGTGGATCGAAGCACGGAAAACAGCTCACCACCAAGTCTCCGGCTAATGCTATTGTGCGCCTAAGTGACTACCCGGTGTACCTATCACACTACCTGCACAATTTTAGTGCAAACGTATAGTATGAATACGTAAATCAATGCGCACCTAATAAGTATCTTGTTGACGCTAAGAAGTAGTGGCGAGGGGTCTAAAATCGACACTTACTAGTAGTTCAATGAATGATGTACATAAAAGAAGACAAACATGTATCATAGTAAGTAGCAACATAAATCAGAAAATATGAATATCATGATTATCAATAGAAGAATAACTACCGAATCGTACACTATAAAATCTCAAGTCAGGAAAACTCATATGTGCTCTAACACCCTATTCAATATTATGCATGATTATGTCGAGACAAATGACCTGATCTCATAAGAATAGTGTCACATAATACCGTCGAGGTCGTATGACCCGATCTATAGATGCATCTTGTGGTACTGCCAAGGCTAACGACCCGCTCCCATAAAGATATTTCATAATACTGTCGAGGCGAACGGTCCGATCACGTAAGAATAGAGAATCTTTCATCAGGTCACTATCTCACTCGCAAAGATACATGCGATTCAAGAAATTACTATAACTACTGCTCACTTAAGCACAATACAAAAATATGAATGTAAGAGAAAGCCTTATCCCATCGAAAATCAAATATCCAGCAAAAACGTAAAAT